AAAAAAAAAAAAAAAATGATGAGAAGGAAAATGTCTTCTTGGTTTTTTTTTTCTTCATCTTCTTCTTCTTCCAAAAAGTATAGAAATATTTTTTTGTTTAAAACGATTATTTCAAAACTAGGCGCTCTTCTTTTTTTTTCAATAATTAGTTTAGAAACTTTCACATTTTCTTAATACGAACATGATAGTCATTGATTTCACAAAATATTGTTGAATTATTATTGAACTATTCCTCAAATTGTTCTTTCAATGTTAAAATTAATTTAAAAAAAAAAAAAAAAAAAAACAATTTTTTCATTTCTAGTGTACTACGAGAAAAGATATTATCAAATATTATTTAATATTATTTAAGAATATGATTTGTCTCGTGTAAAAAAAAAGCTCATTAATGTAACATCGAACTACATGAAAACGTATCTTCCTTGTTTCGTTCAAATAATATCCTCAGGATCGTCCTCGTCTGAAAAAATATATAAATTACACAAATTATTTTAATATAGGGTGTATCATTTGTCAGGCATTTTGATGCTTCAAAAGTTGAACTTATTTTGTAGTATCATTTGGAACACGTATCAATTGTCAACAAAATGACAGGGTTTTGATTCTATCAGCAGTAGTAGTTTTGAAAATACATCAATGTGTTGATTTCACATAAGTTTTTTTTCTTTTTTTTATAAAATTCAGGATTTTTCATTGACCAAAATTTTATCAATGATCCTGAATTCGACCAATCCAAACACCAATTTTATTTTTGAAATTAACATATCAAATATATATAAGCAATAATAAGTTGAACTTTTAAAAGCACCATATCAAACCTTTTTATTTAGTTGTGATGTATCATGATCGATTTTATGATCGATTAAAATATCTCCAATTATTTATTTATTACCTTCTTCCTCTTCACCCTCTGCCAAACGCAAATCATCGACTTTTTGAGCATGAGCCTCAAAATCGGCACCAACGTATTGTTCATCACCTGTATCAAATTGTCTACCAACTATGCTTTCCAATCTGCAATAGATCAAAATAATTATTTATATATAACATTAATATTTTTTATTATTATTAATTTAATTATTAATATTAAAAATAACAAATTTTTAAACATCCCACCCTACCCTTCACCCTATTGGTATAAAATAGTATTATTTTTCTTATATTTTACAGAATGATATTTATAATGAATTTATAGTTAGTAATTATAAGTTCGCATGGCTCAGTGAGGCAAATCACCATCCAGAATATTCATACAGTAATCATCGTATGTTCCCGAGTTCAAATCCCAGTGGGGGGAAAAAAAAATTTATTCGTCACATACTAGTAAGAAATTCGGCAACAACTAGACATCTATATCTATTTGGTAATAAATATTATTCAATATAAATAATATTAATATTTTTATTAATGTTATTATTATATATATAATTTTTATTATATTATATTTATAATATAATATATTTATAATATAAAATATATTATATATAGTAATTAAGTAATATTAATATTTAATATTATTATATATTATTATTATATATGTAATTTAT